TAAAAATGGCAGAGGTATTTTGAAATTTTGCCTTCTTTCTACAAGAAGCATTTCATTGGTTGAAAACCAACAGGACAAAAAGAACTTTTAGAAGAATTTCCTCTATGATTGCTTCCGTCGGAAACCGGGAAGAGATTTCGTAAGAAAATCGCAAGAATTTGCTCCTGGTTTGAAAGGTTATTTATTTCATAGACTTTTAGTAAACCGCTTGTAGCAATGTGGGCTTCACCTTCGTTAATGCTTGTTATAAGGTTTTCATGATGTTAGATTGAACTATATAAAGCAAGAACCCGTGGAGAGATGGGAAAAGAACTCATGCTCCGGAATAGATTTGAAGTCATTGAATCCAGACAAAACATACAGAAAAGAATACCGCGTTTCAGTACCAAAGGAAAGGTAAAAGAAGATTATAAAGTAAGTATGATATATAGCTGAAGAGATGGAAAATGAAGAAAGACAGAGATATGGGTTAATGTTGCATTTAGTCAGAAGAAACAACAAAGCTTTTTATGACCTTGCTAAGATTTACAAATCTGACAGAAACTGGTTCTATCGTGAAAACTACCGATTTCAATACACCTGAATTGAGCAAAGTAACAGGGAAATTGTCAAACGTCTCTTCCTAAACACACTAATGACATCAAAGGTTGTGATCATCTTACATTCAAGTAGACAGACTTACCATTACTGAGGAAAAAATAACAGAATATTTCGATAACTTCAAAGAGGAAGAATAAAAACTTACCGATTTCAATGAAAAATTAACTTTTTGACGAAAGTGACGATTTGCAACCTTTGTCAAAATTTAATGAAAAACTACTTTTTGACGAAGTTGAAGATTTGCACTTTGTCAAAATTTAATGAAACCATTAACTTTTTGACGAAGTGAAGATTTGCACTTTGTCAAATAATGAAAAAACATTAACTTTTTGACGAAGTGAAGATTTGACAACTCTTGACAAACATTTAATGAAAAAGTTTTATGACCAAAACTTACCGATTTAATGAACAATAACAGTAAAAACATACGATAAAATTTATTTTCCTGTGTTGTTGTCAATATGTCATGTTGTTCACATTTTTAAAGTAAGTTAATTAACCTGGTAGCAGCATGGTGACGTAGTGACACCTTTCAGTTATTCAAATATATTTTTGCTTAAATAGCTTCAGGTCTATTTCTTCAACCATTTCACTTCCTTCGTACATGTCAATAGAAGCTTCTTCAACCTTTGGTAAGATTCTGTATAACATCTTTGTTCGTTATTGTCTTCAGAGATGAAGGATAATATTTCACATTGTTTCACCCTTCTTATATTCTTTCTGTTCGGAAAGATTCATAGCAATACTGAAGAAGTCAATGTTAGAGTTCTTTATGACAGTATAATGAGTATCTTTGACATTCACGAAGAAACCTTTTGTTTCCAAAACTACTGCTAACTCTTGTGAGTATGATATACGTTTGCGGTCAATGACATAGTATGTCTGACATACTGACCAAACTTAGATTCTTTCAAAAACTTCTTGTTAAAGATAACATTAACTTTGAAAGCATTATTGAACTCATTCTTGATGGCAGTAGTGAGAGCATTGTATGAAAAGAACTTGCAATCTTGCATGTGTTTCATTAAATAAAAATATTAAATTATTTGAAAAATAACTTAAAAAATCTAATCTAATTTTTTTCAAAATATTTTTTTATTTCCTACTAAAGATGTATCGGAAGTTGTCT